CCCCTAGATCATTCACTAATCATTGAGACCATGAGTTCGACAACGTGTGAGGCATAGGTAAGCACAGCGATCCCTTGCTCAGAGAATTTCTCCCTGACACTTGGAACGAGCCCGATCCTCCCCCCGTCCCTGTTACAGAACTAAAGGCAAGGCAAGGTGCACTTGGGTGACTGCTTTGCCCCTGCGACCTTCCTGCTGGACTGGGAACTGCACGGGGACGGGCTGCAGCCTCCGTGGCAGCACCTCGCATCCTGCTCACGGGGCGTCTTTGCAATATATCGGATTCCAGTGCGACTCAAACAGTGACTTGGCTCACGGAAAGGTGAGCACGGTGGTGAAGATAGACGACTCGGCTGGCGATGCTGGAGCCTGGGACGATGGCATTTTGAAAGGGATGACACAGTTTGCAAAAACCATTTTTCCCCCTCCAAGCTATCGTATTTCACAATGCAGGATGGAAGAAGTGAGACACAGGTGAAATTTTGACCCCCCACTAATGAGTCAGTGTTGTCTCTGCTAGAGTTCACAATTATGATTAGGCAACATGCTTAAGGATAGCTACATTTACCTATCATAACTTGCTTCCATAGTAAATCCCACAATTCAGCCGTCAGACACATCTGGAAACATTGACACAAATCTATATGGAAATGAGATTTACCCCGATATAGGGCATGCGTGTTACCTATGACCTACGCTGTCTGCGGAGAGCTTCAGCCTGCAACAACAGAAAAGGGACCATATTGTGTTCTCTGCTCTTTGCAGGTTGGATGGGGACAGAGTATGGAATAAACATATATTACTTTCTATTTTCATTTTGTGTATGTTGGTTTGACTTTATGAGCTATTGAGTTTGATGGTCATAAAGAGTAACTCATTAAAATATATAAGTCCCTCTTTACAACAACAACAGAGGAAAACAAATTAAGTCTATCTCTTCACTCTTCTCAGACAAAGAAGGAGATTATATAAAACTAGACTTGTTGCTGGGCTTTAAGAGTCTCTTGGCTCACAAATTATGTCCTGGCTCTGCTTGTGTTTTCATGTCTCTGCCTTCTAGTCTTTATTGTTTACTGCCAGAGAGAATGCAGAGATAATATTCTCTCATACATCTTTTCTTTGCTGGGAATTTAAAAAATGCTAGACTATAATTCACCAATATGACCAAGGACTTTAAATCTAATTTGGGCTCGGCTTACCTTTACTGGATGAAAGTAGGATCTTGGGCTTTCTTTAGTATATGGGATAGATGGCAAGTGTTTTCAGCATTTAGAGCAGTGGATGAGTTGTAAATAGAATACCCTCTAGAAAAATGGTATTGGAGTGGCTCATCAGAAAGGACAATGTAGATTTTGAAATGCAAACGAAAGACAGATGTTGTTAAGAGCGCGGGAGTAGGAGGTACAATTTAGCTTGCTGCAAATGATTGCTTTGTCTCTCATGTTACCCTTGTGGTGTAAGAAGTTGCAGGTCAGTGTCCAAAGCTTACTAAACCCAGCTGAATTGACTCAGAGTAAGTAATATTTACTTAGAATTCTAAGTTGGAGCACAAGAAAAATATTGCAAATTGCAAAACCTACCTTGGGTAGGTTTTGGTAGAACCAAAGTGAAAAAAAAAATACATCTGGCTTTAGGAGTTTCCTTCTTCCAATGCCCACAAACACCGAAGGAGGGCTCACGTGCATCACTGGAGGAGACCAGTTTAGAGTTTATTTTCTACTCCTCACCAACAGTACAGCTACCACGCATGATCATTTTAGTCAGACTAGTGCAAAAACGTCCTAAACAACTAAAGCAAACCATAAACAATTCCTTCCTCTTTTGGAAACACTGAGGCTGGGTCAACAGGGCCCTGAACCATTGAACCATATCCCCATCTCTAGTTTTCACTGGGTATTTCTAGGATCCCGTCTTGCTTCTCATGCGGGCATGAAATCCACCCACTTTGGGGCTTCCTGTCTTTGCTGGCCTCCCACCCGGCTCCCCTCCTTGAAGATGGAGTCCCGAGGACTTTTCTGGCTGTGCTGCGCTGTGCAGCGGCAGCGGTACTCCAACCCCACCCTCCACGTAGGCAGGGTTGACAGGCGAGCTCCACTGTGCCGATTATGGGTGGAGAAAGGATCTCACGAACTTATTTTGCTCGAGGTGAGTTTCAAACCTCAATCCTCTCCATCTCAGCCTCCCAAGTCACCAGAACTACACGTGTGAGCCGTCGGTAATCAGCTAGAGAATGATTTCTGTTAGATACAATAAACTCCAAGTAATAAGCAAGGGGGTTTTGTTGGTAAAAAAAAAAAATAAGCAACTGCTGAGGAAAACAGGATATATAAACCTATCACAGCCATACTTTCTCTATACATCGTCTGCCTGTCATTGAAGATTTATGACTGATTTACTGATACACATGGTATCCCAGAGACTGCAGTGGCCTTCTTCCATCTCAAGTGCTTTACTCCGCAGCATTCACTTCCTTATCAGTAACTGATTGTGGCCAAGCACTGGTCCATGGACACGCCCCCCTTTTCTTGTGGAAAGCACGTTCCTTCTCTGGGATCTATGCTGACTGGAGAAGCAGCGGGCTGGCAGGGCCCATCTCCCAGGGGGAGAAGAAACATGCAAATCAGCTATGGGGCTGCAGCCTGGGGCCGGGACTTTCCTTACCTTGGCACCAGAGGACCCCAGATGCTTAGAAGCAGTAGAATATCCATGCAATTTCCATGGATAAAACAGGTATACTTTTATTCACGATCTTATAATATATTACAAACACATACAACGTCGATAATAAATTAAAAATAAATGGGCAAAATAAGTCTGAGAACAGTTCCTAGACAGCATGCTTCTCAGACCTTTATCTGTCTTCATCCCTAGCATGCATGTGATATGCGATCCTGATCGCTTTCTCGCTTGGAAGACTGGTCTGGCAGCGTGTCCCAATGCTGTGTACCCGGCCTCTCCACAGCAGAAAGACGTTTGCTAATGGTAGAGACATAGACGCCCGTCCGCTGCAGTCAGGAAGGGTTGATGAACATTTGTACAATATGTTCGAAACTCTGCAGAAATTCGTTGATGTTCTTCTCCTCCAGTTCCTCGCATTCTCTGCACCCCGATTCCGTGATATTCTGCCAAATTGAAAAGGAAGGAATTAGATTGGCAAGCCTAATATATTTCTTTCCTGGGAATATTATGTTATTTGAACCATATGGTCAGCCCTTTAGACAAGAGATGTTGGCTAATTAGTGTCCTATAAAGAAGAAGAATGACAAAAGAGAATTGGGAGATGCCATAGGAGCTTATCTTTCCTGAAATGGATTCAGATTATTGAAAATAAAAGCCCTAGCTCATGAACTACGGACTTCTCGTTCAGAGCCTGACAGTGATTTCTTGTTGTTGCCTACTCTGAGCACAAAGTCTTTGCTTCTCTGTGTGGTACATGACCTATGTCATGCATGTATGTAGTATGTATGTATGTATGTTAATTTATTTATTTGCCATTCCTGAGGCTTGAACTCAGGGCCTGAGTGTTGTCCCTGAGGTTTTCTGTTGGTGTTTTGTTTCTCTTCTCACAGCTAGCAGTCTCTTACTTGAGCTACAACTTCACTTCCAGCTTTTTGGTGATAAATGGAAGATAAGAATCTCAAGGATTCTCCTGCCCCAGCCAGCTTCCGGTGGGGATCCTCACGTCTCAGCCTTCTAAGGAGTGAGGATTACAGCGTGAGCCACTGCCTCCCTCCCACCACGAACACATCATAATACTGGAGGCCCGGATGCTCTTGTTTTTTTCTCTCTGTTACGCTCAGGTGTTCACTCCTGCAGGAGATGCTGCCAGGCTCCAGGCTCCGCTCGTCGCACTGACTCTACCTAACAAATCCTCACTTAAGTCTCTCACCGTATTCATGTGTTAGATTCATACCAGACCTTTTCTCTTTTTATGTCACTAGTCCTAAGCTCTTCCAGGAGAGGGAAAAGCTGTGTGTGTTTGTTTAGAGCAAGGCCTGGCACATAGTGACCATCTAATCCTTGGTTGAATGACTGTTGAGGTGATTTCCCCAAATTGTAAATTCCAACACAGTCTCATGGATAACAAGAATACTGCAAATACAATGATTATGAATAACCTTGTTAGAAATCATCTGAAGTGGAAAGGCTGTGCCAGAAAAAAAAATGAAATTAGATTTTTGCATCCATTAAGCACACGGAAGATAGATTCACCAACATCTATCAGGTGCAGACTGTCTGCCAGACGCTGTCCTGCTCCATAGACGGCCATCCTATTTGATCCGGAAGATACTCGTGTCAGAGAGGAAGGGAGAGATAGTAAGTCACATCCGGACTATCTGACCATGTAGGCCCGCCCACCCCTCCTGCACTTCTGCACAGAGCCACGCCGGCATGGCTCTGAACATCCACTTTGCATGACGGCCACCGGCCTTGTCACTGAAGCATGGGTCCCTGCCACTGACGGAGCTAGCACGGCCAGGAATAGTGGAGGAAACCAGACAAACCTCCGTAAGGAAAGAGAAGGTGATGGGGAACAAAGTGGAGGAGGGACCCCAGCGCACAGCTTACGCAAAGACATTGGTAGGGCACAACCAGCATGCACAGCTCACAGGATCTGGGGTCTGCGCTGCACTGCGGCTGCCTGGGCCTCAGTGGCCTGGGTCCCCAGGCCATGGCCTCTCTGTGTCATCACACACCAAGCTTCTCTATGCTAGACCCCTGGACCCCTGTCCTGCCTTCCGTATGCACCAGACTTCAGAAACCACCAGCTTATTCACTCGCTGATGGGCCAGCTGAGTGTGGATTCTGTCTGTTTTCATACTGCATCCTCCAGGCCAAGAAGTATGCATTAGAGGAGGTCATTTTACTATGCTTTGTATGGTTGTTAAACTCCTTTCTGCCTGTCTTTGTTTGGCGACGGAAAGCCATAATTCTTTCATTTCAGGGCTTTCGCATCACTTACTTCCTGCACATGCTGAGAGTCCTTGGTGTTTGCTCCCAGAAAGCTTTCCTGTTTGTGTTGCTGCGAAGCCCTGATGGTATATTCAGATTATCAGTGCTTTTGTTATTTTCAACATGTAACTTTTCAGGTGAGAGGTCAAACTTTGGAGAGACACTGCTCGAGTAGACCGACGCCTCCTGTTTTCCCAGTAGGAACAAATGACTCAAGCTCACAGTGTCCTAGTTTTGTCTACCTTCAAACAGAAGTAAGAATCACTAAATCAAAAGAAGGAAGAGATTGAGGAGGACAACGAAAACCAGGAAGAGGAGGAAGAAGAAGAGAAGAAATCAGAGGAAAAAGACAAAGGAGTAGAATGGTTTTGTAGACACAGTATAGGAATTAAAGGATTTATTAAAGCCTAACCAATAGAATCTGGCAGGCAGTAGTAACTCAATCAATGCGAGTTATCTATGGCTCACTATTACTGGTGTTGAACCTTATGCAATTGAGCTAGCGTCTCTACTACACCTGCGTCTCTGGTTTGCCACTAGACTCTAGCACAGAAGCACAGTGACACAGGTCAGCAAATGCCTTCAACAAATATCTCATTGGGCAGTTGTAGGTTGTGAGCGCATCCATGCGAGTGTCCCTTTGGGAGGCCACTGGACTCACACTGAATCCTCTCTCCTCTGACACTGAATGCAGAAGATCTGTTTGTCTATGGGCCATTTCTCCCAGTCAAGCCAGCTTGACCAGCAGAGAACTCACCCCGTTAGAAGACAGGCTGCTGTTGGCCAGGATGATGAGATTGTGCACTGTTTCACTAATGTTCACATTTCTAGACTCATGTGAAATGACTTGAAACTCCAGCAGGAAGCATCTCATCGCGGTCACTTTGCACTTGGGCTAAAGAAAAGAAAATGTTACAAAGATCTATGTACTCATTGCCTTACTCCTGTAACTGTAACCCCTCTGCATGGCATCTTTACAATCAACTAAAATTAAAACAGAAGATTCTCACTCATTTTCACATCAATGTCATTCTCATTTTTAAAACATCAGTCCAGATGCTTTATAAAGATCTGCATATCTTTAAAAATAATACCTAGGAATTTCTCCCCTTTCAAGGATGGTGCTATTATGTCAAAAACCTGGACAGACTGAATGACCTTTTCTCAGCCAAAGTGTTTCATCTGTGGAAAGAACAATAATGGTATCTCCCCCACCCCCCGACTCTCAAATGCCAATCCAGAAGTACGTCTGAAAGAATTTTTGGAATCAGATCGAATGTTAACATTTCACCATGGTAGCTGCTCATCATCCTGTTCCCGTACCTCCCGAAGCTCCAGCAGCAGACAGAATTCTGGGAAAAATTAAAGCAGACGTAGCACCCTACCTCCCGGCTAGCCAAAGAAGGAGGAGATCTCTAAAAGGTGCCAGGACAATCCATTTCCTACAACAGTCATCCAACAGAAACCTGAACTCAAAGACTAGAAATCTGACTAGAACCCTGCCTATGACTTATTTGGGTCCCTGGTTGCTAGCACAGAACCTGGTCCTTGCAAACATGTAACAACTCTCACGAAGTAGATGAACTATTGAAGGAATGCAGCATGGCGGCACCGCGGCTGCCCGGGACTGCAAGGTAGACTCTCTAAGCAACTTAGCAGGAACGAAATGGAGGTTCTGAAAACTTAGTGCCATCCCCGGTGACACCGGGAAGAAGAGGCCGAGTGGATGCCTGAGTCTAGCAAATGCCTCTGCACCTCTGAGTTGTGAGGCTGCCTTCATGCAAGAAGGCCATCGCAAGATCTGAACGCTTAGGAAAAAAACGCAAAGAAAATCAGACAGCCTGCTGATGCCAGAGAAGACAGAGCTTTCAGGAGCAGCCCTGCCCACTGAGAGAGAAACATCCATTTCCCCCTCGTTTCTGCCTACGGCTTTTCTCTGGTGTTTGTAAAATATTTCAGATATATTCTAGTTGAGAAATAGCAAAGAGGACACTATTTTATACATACACACACACACACACACACACACACACACACACACACACTCTATACAGAGTTTGTCTTCCCTTCAGTGAAACTGGAGATTTATTTCTTGGTCTTAGTAATATTCCAGAGAGAAAAGAGTACCACCATGATCGGCCTTAGGTAATGTCAGCGTATTAATGAAACAGGTTCATCATTTTTGAATTCTCATAAGTTGTGTGGATTGTGTTTCTGTTCTGAATGCTCTCCTGAAAAATGTCAAGATCTATGCAAAATATAGATTATAGGCACCCGTAGGCAATTTATAGAAGCTGTGATTAGAACATCCATACTCCACAGCACAGGAAATGGTTGATAGGTTGGATAGCATTGGATCGGTTAACCCGATTCAAGCATCTAATTTCATCGCAGTTTCACTGCATTATGAAAATGTGTAATAGATTTTTTTTATATTGATAGACTAAGGTGAGTTTCTTTTCTACTATTTTGCTTTGGGGCACAATTACAAAAATAGTATTTGAATAGTTTTCCTTTCCCAATTTCTACAAACTTAACAATCACAGTTTATATATCAGAAGTGTACGTGGAAAATGAAATTTGAAACCTATGTGCATTTCAGTTAAATAATAAAAGTTATGCTTTTGAAAGGTGAAACACCATCAGTTTTGTAAAAATCAAATTGTACTCACATGAACATCACTCTCAGTATATAAAGTAGCATCAATGTGTATAGCCTGAAAGGAAATAAAATGAGATAATATGAAAAAGTACTCCATGCCTTAGCTACTAACCCACCATCCACACATTCCCCCTCCTACTCCTTGTAACCTCTGGCCACCTCTGTGCTGACGAATACTCTGTTTCTACATTCGCTACCCAGGCGGGGGAGGGGCTTGGCTGTTTCATTTCCACAAGTTTACAATCCAGTCCAGTCAGTCTCACCGCTTTGGTCCTCTCTCCCTTTTGCCTCTCCCACTTCCCGAAACAATCTCAACAGGTTTTAGCGTTAGGATTTCATAATTGCAAATGATTTATTTTTTTCCTATATCCTGAGGCACTGACAGGATTCCAGCATATGAATCCATGGGGAACACCATTCAGCCCATATTTTTTTTAATCTGTGTTTTCTCAATCGATTGATATGATCCTATTGTTTCCTTGTTTAGGCTGTGGAGATTGTGTGTGTGTGTGTGTGTGTGTGTGTGTGTGTGTGTGTATTTACATTTGTTGGCTTTCAAATATTGAACAACAGGTGGAATCAATCCTATTTGACTAGGGTATATAACTTATTGCCAAATTTGATCGTTAATATTTTATTGAGGAAATTGTTTTTAGTCTTACTTTTAATACCAAATCCATCTGATTTTACCATCAGAACAAAATAAGCCCCCTAAAACAAGTTGGAAAGTTTCCCTCTTTTTATGTTATGAAAGAGACTGTGAAATTTTAATTCTTCCTGAAAAAATTTTTTTGCCGAATGCTTCAGTGAAATTGGCTGGGTCTAGAGTTTCCTTTAGGATGAATATATGATGAATTCAATGTCTGTGCTGGCTGAGGAATACTTGAATTATCTACTTTATTCTTGTTACATTTTGGTAGTGTGGAGTGTTTGAAGGGCTGGTTTGTTTCCTGTAATTTTTCAGATCTGTGAGCACAAGATTGATTTTCATTTTATCAGCCTTTTAATGACTATATAGTTTGCACCTCTAATTCCATTTATGACACTTGCCTTTACAATTAACCTCCACTGCCGTATGATCTGATCTTACCTTCATTAATGACATCTGAAAAGACACTATTTTTACCCCCAACTTTTTCTCACATAGACTCTCTACCATTGAACTCTCTTCAATCTGTCATATTCATTTTGCTAGTGACTCTTTCCACCATATTTTGTGTTTTACTCATTAAAATTTTATAGTTCTGTTATTTCCATTGGATTCTATTTATATCTTGTTTCTAAGATTTCTATATCTTTTATTTTAATGGTACTGGTAATTCATTACTTTTCAGCGAACTTTTGTAATTGGTGCTTTCAAATCCATGTCAGGTACGTCCAGTATTTGATCCATCCTGGTTGTGACTCTAATCTTCTTGGTCTCCAGTCATTATGGCTTCTGTATTGTGGTATACCACTGAAGCACCGATCCTTTTTTGTGTCTCCCAATGGGACAGAAGGCCCTTCTGGACCAGGCTTATTGCTTTAGGTAGAGGATGGGTATAAATAACACTTTTCCAATGGCTCTTTTGAGTGGGGTTTTGCTGTTTATTGTTTGCTGGTTCTACTAGGCCACCTGGTGTCTCTGGGTGGGAGAAGAGATCTCTACTCCATAGATAAGACTTTCTCTCCTGGGGTCATGTTCCTTTCCAGGTGGTACCAAGCTACCTGGTTTCTCTAGATAAAAGAAAGAAGTCTGAACTAAATCAACAAGAGCTTTTTAGGCTAGGCCAGTGATAGGTTAAATCTTAAAGATAACTGAACTCCAGATGCAGTAGGAGAAAGATTTCTTCTGGCTAGGCACGGTGGCTCACACCTGTAATCCTAGCTACTCAGGAGGCTGAGATCTGAGGACTGCGATTCAAAGCCAGCCTGGGTAGGAAAGTCTGTGAGACTCTTATCACCAATAAACCACTCAGAAAAAACAGAAGTGGCACTGTGGCTCAAGTGGTGGAGTGCTCGCCTTGAGCTGAAGAGCTGAGGGACAGTGCCCAGGCTCAGAGTTCAAGTCCTACGACTGACCCCCCCCAAAAAAAAAGATTTCTTCTGAAGTTTTGTAGGATCCAAATATACTACAAAAATTACCATTACCAGGGAGATTTCATGACTGCTCACAAGAAAGCATAAGAAAAGACATACTTCCTAACGAACCTGTCAGGTAGGTTATGGAAAAGTGAGTACTCACTTGGATAAGTTGCTGGATGGTTTTCAGATCCTGTATTACATCACACCAGTTGGCCTCTGTTCTAGGAAGCCCTGCACTGACACAGCTGAAAGGGGGGAGAGAGCAGCACGCTGAACCATCACGAGAGTGACTGCTAAACAGGCTGAGCAGACAATCAAAACGTTTAAATTCTGAGGGAAGTCAGCAGTGTGAGTCTTGTCTCTGAGGATGTCAGAACCCTGCTGATGAACAGAAACACCAACCAGCACAGCCCTGACGCTTCAGGTTGACAAGTGTTGACCAGACCCGAGGTTTCCAAAAATGCCTGACTGAAGGCCTAGTATGTAAGTAACCTGGTGTCACGTGTCACAGTGAAACAGAAACTGCGGTAGCGCTCGACACATGCTCTTGAGTAAATCACTAACATTTCTTTAAGAATTTCAGGCCGAGCAAATAAGTGAACACGTTAAAGCAGCAACACTTCCGTATCACCGTGTGGCCCTCTTGTTAGGTGTGACTCACGATGCTCACATTACGCCCATCCAGGCTTTCTCCATACGCATGACACACATAGCTCAGTCTACTGCGAGTGATCATACACATTGTCCTTTGGGTAAAAACTGAAGTTTAATATCCAGATAAAAGATGCACTGATGAAGTGACTATGGAGTGATGGTAGAGTGCCACGAAGGTCTTCCTGGCAGAAGCTCGGTCAGCCCTAACCTGCCTGCAGGGGGAAGCTGAGGTTCTTACCTCAAGGGTACAAACAAGGACTGAGAGAACCACACGTCAGATTAGGTAACAACTGGCTGGGCAAAGTGCCAACCAATATGTATTGATTTCCATATTGACATCAATACATTAGCTGCAGCTAAGAGAAAAGAAACCACGTAATAGACATGGAGAAAAAGCTGGTTGTTTTTTTTAGGAGAAACCAAAGACCTACTTAAAGAAATGTTTTAAACTTAATGAAGGTAAGAATCAAAGTATAGGAGGAGTCAAGAACAGTTAAAGGAACATGAGCAAGTACTAAACATCTACTTTTTACTGCCAGGAAGACTACCCCGGAAATCAGTAAGTTGTCAAGGGGTCCAGTTTATTTGGGAGAAAGAAGATTCATTGGGGATATAACCAGATGTTCACTTAATCTCCCCTGAACCTCCATAATCTTCCCTGTATTATACCCTACACCAAACACAGTGCACCTAAGAGACAAGACCAAGCTAATCACAGCAACCTCGTGGCGTGGATAATTTAGGATGACTATTGTGGCCATTAATATGATGATATGTATGCAATTACCCTAAAATGAAGACATGTATGCCAGCCTCAGTTAAAAAATGACTGTTTAAAAGTAGACACAAGTAGCACTGGATGGAAGGACTTCTCAGGTGTGGTTTCTGAAAAATACAATCATAAGAAAGATGGTCATCCACTTTTAGTTCAAACATTAGATGGCAAATAATACAGCCTATTTCTGGATACAAAGGGGCAGCTATTTCCTTTATCATAATTGAGGAAACGAAGATTGATCTCTTTTGGCTTTTCTCCCATCTCTAAAGCTGCCTCCTTTTGCACAAAACTCTTTAATAAGTTTTTCTCCTGCTGCCTAGCAATGATAATTTAATAAAGTTTACAGTGATTTAGTGATTTACTAATGTTGCCAATTAATCTGTTCTCTTACCTCTGAATTCCTTTCATCCTTCTCTCCTTCTTAAGAGGTACATATATATATATATATATATATATATATTATGGTGCGAATTAATAACAAGTACATTACTTATATGTTAAATTCCTGCAATTATATGAAAATTAATAATATTATCCTTCAGAGATAAATTGAGTAGAAATGGAACCGACTAAAGATAACTTTGTCTTAAGGGCCTTTACAAAACAATGTTTCCTAGTGATTTGGGAAAATCATTTATCTTAGAAACCTCCAGAGTTGTGATATTTTGTGTATTCTTTTGTGTTCTCAAAGCTCTTAGTTTTGTTTAAAAAAATAAAAGAAAGAAAAAATATGAAGCACTGTGTTTCACTGAGTCTCTGCTGAAGAGATAAGTAATCCCCAGGTCTCATTCCCAAATGCATTTATTTAGAGAAATATAAGGGGTGGACTAATGCATTTTGAATGGCTCAAAGAGCATTACAAGATGGTTCATCTTGTTTTCTGAAACCTATGCCATTTATTTTCAAAATAAAGACAATCCTTTTGTGTACAGACATTAGTGACATCCCAAATCTCCACTGTATAATCTCAGAATGTATTATGAGGCATCTGAGACTCAAGTAACATTTATAAACAAGAATAATATGCTAGCAGGGCTCTAGTGGCTCATACCTCTAATCATAGCTACTCAGGAGGCTGAGATCTGAGGATTGTAGTTCAAAGCCAGCCTGGGCAGGAGAGTCTGAGAGATAACCAGAAGTGGCACTGTGGCTCAAAGTGGTGGGGCACTAGTCTTGAACAAAAGAGCTCAGGAACAGCCCCAAGCCTTGAGTTCAAGCCCCATGACCAACAGCAACAACAAAAAAGTAACATGCTATTCTATTTTTTTTCTTACCGAAATTCTCATTACTCAATGCCAGTATACGTCCTTATGTATTGAAGAAGAGCCAGCTATCGCAATGGGCTTCCAGCAGCCATCCATCCAGAATCCCTCCTGCAATGCAATCCAGGGGAAAGGGGAAGCACTTAGTAGGCAAACAGTCCAATTACTGAACACTTACCTAATGATAGTTATCCTGAATCCAGGCAGCACATTTAACTCTCATGACAGGCCTTGTGGTGTAAGGTTACAGCAAGTGGACCCAGTCCCACAGAAACCACACAACAGTCAGGGTTTAAGACAAGGTTTGTCTTACTACAAAGAAAACCCAACTCCTCTGTTGTATTCTGTCTCTGAACTGACAAATTCCTAGAGTGAAAAGTCGATATATGCAAATACTTATTCATAGAATTACTTATTTGTAATCCAATTTACAGCAGCGGTAAATACTGAGCAGAAGTCTTGTCTTCAAAACAAATCATTGTTAAGTGCGGCGACACTTGAGAATTTAATAAATACCCCAATTCTATTTTTTCTAATTCAAAGTAAGAGAAGAATGTAATGCCCTGACATTCTCATCTTCAATTACATTTCATTGAAACACTTAAAGCCAAAACATGCAAAATATAAATGATTTTCTGTCCTTGGTAAGTAGGACATATTTATTGACCTCACTCAAATTTTTTTGAAATTCTACCAAATCCCATGACACACATATTCAATGCAATTAAGTTCCATAAACTCAAATAGCTAACTCATTGTATTTTGAAAATTTTCTAAAATATAAAAATAGTTTCTCTAAAATCTGGAATGTGTTATCATTAAAATGAAAAGCAAACATTTAGCAAAGCTAAACAAGAAACTCTAAGTATGTGTATACATAAATACATACACAGTGGGACTTTAAAAAGTGTTACATCTAAGTCCACTGCTTACATATGATCTAAATAATTTATCAATTGTTTTATTTAAAACAATTATGTTATTCTCCTTCTTCCTCTCATTTCATAATCTCTTTTTTGGTCTACACTAATCTTGGTGCTTCTAATGTTACAAATCTTCATAATTACCTTTGTAACTTCATTCAAAGTCTTAAATTCCCTCCATTATTTTTGTTATGGTATGCCATAGGGCGCAAATTATAATATTATTTATTGATGTTGAACTAAAGAATTTAATACTGACATAATTTTTTATGCCAGTCTTAAAGCTTGAACTCAGGGCTTGGGCCTTGTCCCTAAGTTTTGGTGCTTTCAATGCTAGCTAGTGCTCTACCACTGTGAGTTACAGTTCCACTTCTGGCATTTGGGCAGCTAACTGGAGATAAGAGTCTCACAGACTTTTCTGTCCAGGCTGGCTTTGAACCATGATCCTCAGATCTCAACCTCTGGCGTAGACAGATTCTAGGCATCAGCCACCTGCACCCAGCAAGAGTAACATCATTTTTAATAAGTCCGTAGGCTGCTATCAAGCAATGGGCATTTCACTCAGAGACTCTGTGACAGTATCCCCACTGTCAGAGTGCATGTTCTCTGGTTCCTGGGCCGCCCAGCTACATTCTACTGGATAAGCAAATGAAGCCAATGTTCCAGCCAGGATGCTCCACGGTGGAATATGGTTGCTAAACACAAAGGAATACAGTGGGGAAGGGCCCGAAGAGCCTCTAACAGAGTGATGGTCATGCAAGCTGGTGTCCACGAAAAGGAACACTTTGCAGCTTTTTTTTTGCCATTGAGCAAAAAGCTTCGATGACTTTCTGGGCTGCTCTAGGAACTTTTGAACATTCTACTTGCCACATACTACAGTTCTTTAATAATTTCCTAAAAGTGTGTGTGTGTGTGTGTGTGTGTGTGTGTGCGTGTGTGTGTGCGCGTGTGCATGTGTGTGTGTTAGCCCAGTGATGTTCTTAAACAGATAAAGGTACGGTATTCCTTTATCATTGGACCAGATTCAATAGGAGCTATTAGAAGAATTATTATGAATGATGATTTTTTTTTTCCCAGTGAAGACACAGAAACCTTGAGAAGCTAAATGAATTTTTTCAGGTAAATGCCTTGCACAGAGACATCCAAATCCTCTCTCATCATCCAGCCAGAGCTAGGGGCCATGCAGCCCAAAGCTTCACAAACTATGCGGTTAAGAATGCTAAGCCCCTTCCTATGGGGAAAATATGAATCATCCTCGTGAATAATAAAAGCCGCCTCTCTTTGAGAATTTAAAAGCACTTCTTCCAGATTGTTCTGATAGAACTCTAGTGCTTTCCCCTATTATAGTTTCGTGCTGGACTCTAATAAAAATACTTTCAGTACCAAGGGCACCTGTGTTAAATGCTTAGTTCTCAGGAGGGAGCTGGTGGGAGGGGTGGAAGTGTGGAGAGGCCTGAGGGAGGTCTTTAGGTCATTGGCGAGGCGGGGTTGGAGGGGGCTGTGCAGCCACGCCTCAGCCTCTCTCTTTTCCTTCTTCCCTGTTCTCACCCCCCACGTGTCTTCCTCAGCTTTGCTTTCCAGTCCCTGAGTGAATGGTCTTGCTCGGCCTTAGGCTATTCTGAGCAGAACGACACTGCCTGCTGGACACCTCGAGGCAGAGAGTGGACAGGGCGGCACCATTGGGCAGGCACCTGTGACAGGTCTGATTCCACAGAGACTTCTGAACATTAGGCCAAACCTGTTACATTCCCCACCATTCTCCTCAGTGAGGAATCAGAATCCACATACTTGCTCTTTAGCTTGGGCAGACACACATTTTAGATGAATAGACTTTCCAAATACACAACAGTCAGAAGCATTGGTTTCTTGGGTAAGAACATCAGCTGTTTACTCACAAAAATGGATGGCAGCTGGGGGCCCATGGCTAACACCTGTAGTCCTAACTGCTCAGGAGGCTGAGATCTCACACGTACTTCTAAGCAATCCTGGGCAGGAGAGTCTCTGAGACTCTTATCTCCAATTGATCACCAAAAAGCTGGAAATGGAGCTGTGGCTCAAGTGGTAAAGTGGTAGCCTTGAGAAATAAAAGTTAGGGGACAGCCCCCAGTCGCTGAGTTCAGGTCCTAAGACTGGCACCAAAAAAGATGAAAGCAATCTAGGATTAAGTAAAATATGAAGAATTAATAAGATAAAATCATAAGGTACCATCCTTGTCCTCGATTTCAACTTAGTGAATGCATGTTGACAACTTACTATACATTTCTGTATGACCTTGAGAAACAGCAGTGATGGCAAAAAAAAAATCCTTGAAAGTGGGAGAATATGAGGGAGGGGGAAGGGTAAAGAATAAAAGAAATGCATTCACGGCCTGACTTATGTAACTATAACCCCACTGTGCATCACCTGTGAGATAACATTTAAATTTCATAAACATCTAACATTAAAAAAAAAACCCTTGGTTTTGATGAAAGGCCATTCTGACCTCATACAAAAGAGTGTCACAAATGGCACAGAATAGGAACACACAGAAGACAGGGATAGAGAAGGAACCGTCAGGGGGGCGGCCGCGCGTGAGTTCCTGCGAGAGCAGGCAGGAAGCCAGTGGAGTTCTGTCCTGCTGCCCCAGGATTCTGAACAGGCTGCAGCAGAAAGTCGCGGGGAGCGAGCTGGGGAGGAAGCTGGCATCGAGGGCAACATGGGACAGTAGAAATCACTGTGTGAATGGTCACGGAGGGAGATGAGTCAATATTTGCTTCAGTCAGGGGTCAGGAGGGCTGGACGACATAGAGAACTGGATTAAACCTTTGGTGAGCCAAAACCAGAGGGCGGGGAGGATATCAGAGTATACATAAGAGAACGACGGGGACCTGAACAGGAAAAGGTATTTCTTCTAGGACTTCCTGTAGGAAGAGTCGTTTGAATCACACCTTGAAGACTGGTTAGCTTTCAGGGATGGCTGAAAGGAGAGCAATAACGTCTAGTTGGAGGAGACAGCTGGAGCAGGGAATGCAGAAACAAGCGTGGTGTGTCTGCAGAAAACAATAAATCATTTTCTTAACTTCTGGAAGAAGGGCTGAGTGACAGAGCACAAACCTAGCACCTGTGCACAAAGCAAGATGAGGCAAACACGTTCTGGAAACAGGCCAGATAATAAACACTGTAGGCTTTTCGAGTTTGTGGCCACTGACGTAATTATTTAACCCAACCACCAAAGCATAAAAGCAGCCACAGACAATTCCCAAGTGGCTGGTGTTGGCCGTGTTCCAGTGCTACTCTATTCATTACTAACACAGAGCCTCTGAGTCACCAGCCACCTATGGGTCTCTTAAGCAGGCCTAACGTGAGGACAACTGAGAAGCTGAGGTCCTTCAGTGGACAAGAAGATGGACAGAGAGAAAGAAGAGTGAGAGGTGGGGAAAGAAAGATAAAAGACAGCTATGATACGTAGCTTTGCCATATTCTTGTTACCCTTCTACAAAAGGGATGTGCTCATGTAGCATTCTTTCTCATTTGTTCTTGAACAATCTTAGCTCTGGGGCAAGTATAATGGTTTTCTCGGTGTTACATCACTGCGCAGTTTCACCTGCTGCCCATAAACGGTGAGTGAGCTCTATTTCTGGAGAGCTTCTAAAAGTTCCTCCTTCAAACACTTACTAACAGAGAAGAAATTCTCCCAAACACATACTAAAAGAAACAAAAATTGGAATTAGGAGGAGGCCTAAGAATTTTAGGAAATAGCACAGAAAAAAAATGAAAATGATAAAATGACTTAAAAATGCAAACAGGAAGTGGCGCTGTGGCTCAAGTGGTAGAGCGCTCGCTTTGACCTGAAGAGCTGAGGGACAGTGCTCAGGTCCAGAGTTCAAGCCCCACGACCAACAAAATAAATAAATAAATATGCATACAATAAAATTTCATAGTGTTAAGCCAGGAGCCAGTGGCTCATATCTGTAATCCTAGCTACTCAGGATCTGAGGATTGTGGTCCAAAGCCAGCTTGGGAAGGAAAGTCCCCGAGACTCTTATCTGCAGTGAACTACTCAGAAAAAAGCTGGAAGTGGCGCTGTGGCTCAAGTGTTAGAGCGCTGGCCTTGAGCACAGAGAGGCTCAGAGATAGCACCCAGGGCCTGAGTTTAAGCCTCAGGACAGAAAAAAAAATCATATTAAAGGAAAATATATACTATAGGGA